AACAACCACAACTCAAGCACCATCAACTACAACTGCTACATCTCCAACCACAACCCAAACACCAACAACTATACCTGCTACAGCAAAAACCACAACTCAAGGACCATCAACTGCAACTGCTACAACAAAAACTACAGCTATAGCACAAATAACAAGTCAAGCACCAACAACTGCAACTGTTACACCAACAACAACAAGTCATGCGCCAACAACGACTGCTACACCAACAACCACAACACAAGCACATTCAACTGCTGCACCAACAACCACAACTCGAGTACCAACAACTGCAACTGCTACACCAACAACCACAATGCAAGCACCAACAACTATAGCTGCTTCAACAACAACTACAACTAAAGCACAATCAACAACTCAAGCACCAACAACTACAACTGCTACATCAAAAAGCACAACTCAAGCACCAACAACTGCTACACCAACAACCACAAGCCAAGCACCATCAACTACAACTGCTACACCTCCAACCACAACTAAAACACCAACAACAAGTCAAGCACCAACAAGTAAAACTGCAGCACAAACAACCACAACTCAAGCACCAACAACTGCAATTGCTACACCAACAACCACAACCCAAGCACCAACAGTTACACCAACAACCACTACTCACGCACCAATAACTACAACTGCTCCTACAAGAACTACAACTAATGCACAAACAACAAGTCAAGCACCAACAACTACAACTGTAGGACAAACAAGCACAACCCAAGCACCAACAACTACAACTGCTCAAACTGCTACACCAACAATCACAACACAAGCACCAACAACTAAAACAGCTACACCAACAACCACAACTCAAGCAACAACAACTACAACTGCTACTACAACAACTACAGCTAAAGCACAAACAACAACTCAAGCACCAACAACTACAACAAGTACACCAACAACCACAACTCAAGCACCATCAACTACAACTGCTACATCTCCAACCACAACTAAAGCAACAACAACTACAACTACAGCACAAGCAACCACAACTCAAGCACCAACAACTGCAACAGCTACACCAACAACCACAACCCAAGCACCAACAACTACAACTGCTCCTACAAGAACTGCAACTAATGCACAAACAACAAGTCAAGCACTAACAACTACAACTGTAGGACAAACAAGCACAACCCAAGCACCAACAACTACAACTGCTCAAACTGCTACACCAACAATCACAACCCAAGCACCAACAACTACAAC